CACTTACCTCCTCGATTCAAGAAAAAAAATTACTTAAAAAAAAATACTTATTTAGATTTACATTTTTTGCAGTGTGGAGCCTTTCAACATCCATCCCAACTTTTTTATTGAACTTTTAATCTACACGATGTTTCAAGTTCTGTTGAAATGATATATCTGCAGCTTTAGCATCAGAGCTCAATGGCATTCAGAGCAAAATGAACCAGTTTTGTGCTTCGATGGATGCAGAAGGATGAGCTTTTTGGAGGAGCATTTATTGTTGTATATAATTCTGCATTACTTATTACTGGTCTATCACACACTAATGTCTAAAACACAGTAATGTTTGTGATTAGAGAACATGTTAAAAAGGTTAGAAAAGCAAACACTGTTTCTTTGCTTTTTACTGGAATTTCTACCAGAAAGGAAACATGGAGGCAGGAAGAAAGGGCAGAGTCAGCATTTTCAGCAGGTTTCAGAGGTAGAGGTGGATTCTTGCTGCCGTTTAAACTTGAAGTCAACTTAAAGTCAGAGCGAAGTGGGGCTGAGGGACGGAGGATGCATCTTATCGTGGCGGGAATCTCTGCAGCGATAAGGGAACAAAGCAGCCAGCAGAGGATGAAGGGAAAAGATGGGATGTCTGTGGAGCTCTGCTCTCTGACATCATCATTAGTGCATGAGGGAGACCAGACCTCACCGCGGATGCATGCCTGTGTGTGCGGACACTGATCCAGGAGAAGCTGCTGTCAGCACCAATAAGCAGAGAAGGGATAGGGGTAGATTTCACTATCCTCACTAAGATTTACTCTAAATGTAGCCAATAAGTGTCTGAGTAAGCCGGGTGGGGGGGCTGTGGTCGTCGTTAAGGCCAGGAAACATCTTTTCCTGACCGTCTCTGCTTTGGGCTTGCCTGCTTTCTTCAATCCTTCTCCAGTTTGTAGTGAAAGGAACAGAAAAGGAGTGAATTCCTGTAAACTGGTCCTTCCTTTCTTCCTTCCCTCTGGAGTCCCTGTGAGTAAAATCCTGGTCTGCTCTGCCCACAGTATTATTGAAGTAATACCCTGTTATTATTGAGGAGAGAGGGAGAAACGAGAAAGGACTATTATCTTTATGTAGCTCCTTTAATTTTAATGTGCCACAGATTTATAGCTGGACATTCCAGTGGCGACGCCCCTCCCTGCTCTTTAAGACGGCGGGCGGGACGCCACCACAACGCTCTCACAACAGCCACTACCTTCTGACAAACAACCTCCCAGCGCTTCGCCCCGGCCTCCTCACAGCTGTCAAACAGCCTCCGCTGCTCCTGACAGCCAGAGGACCCCCCCCCCCCACCGCACCCCACCTGGAAGCCTCTGAGTTTAAAGCTGCTAAACATTGAGCTGCCTCTGTCTTAACCCAGATTACTGAATAATCTGAGGGGATAAAAATCTGTCAGTAGCTTGACCAACAGAAGTTGGACTCTATATCGATAAGAAATGTCTGGATTGATAAATGTTTGTTAGATCTTTAGCTTTTTACTCTTAAAATAAGATAAGATATAATAAGACAAGTCATTTTTTCTTAAAATTAGTGCATTTGTTCTTGGATTGAAGAGATAAAAGAGACATTTTGCCAATGGAAAAAGACAATTTACATTTAAAATAAGAAAACACAATTGGTTTGTCTTATTTCAAGTGCATCTTATCTAATTATCTTATTTTAAGAGTAAAAATATTCATTCCATTGGCAAACTACTTCATTTACCTACTCAAATTAAGGGTAAATACACTTGATTTAAGAAATTTTGACTTATTTCTAGATCGTTTTTCCCAGTGTACCTTTAAATTAGAGGAGTAAATAGATGAAAAAACCGAATCATCGATGAAATGTTAAAACATTTCAGCACCGATATGCAGTAAACGCCAGTTTTAAAGGTGCTCATTGGAAAAATTATCTAGAAAGAAGTAAAAATTTCATAAATTAATTGTAGGTTAATGAGATATTTTTCCAATGGAATGAGTATTTTTGCTCTTAAAATAAGATAATTAGATAATATGCACTAGAAACAAGCAGTGATGGGACTAACGGCGTTGAAAGTAACTAATGCCGTTACCTTGTTTTAGTAACGAGTAATCTAACTAATTATCTTGACTGTAACTATAACGCAGTTACCATTGCAGACACCCCGTTACTGCGCGTTACTCAGGTCGCACAATGAACCTTTTTTCATGATAGGACTCGTGCGCAGCTGCGTGAAGCTGACACCCCACCCACGTCAAAAAACTCTGCAAATAGACTGAATGGTTAGTGCAACGTTAGTGCAGATTTGTGCAGAAAAAAAATATTGTTTGTGCTACTTTTGTTTAAGAGATATTAAATATTATTTTTTAGGTCATCCAGAGGTGCGCGCCTTGTCATGAGAGAGGGGAGGATGAGAATGGCTGATGTATAGTGAGATTCCGTCTGTCAGTTGAATAGGTGGGTGTTTCCGCTGGTGGGTGTTAACGTACAGCACACACAGAGAGATGGAGAGTGAGGAGGACTCCAGCAGCAAAACAGCGTTTTCCACATGGAAATACCGGTGTTACGTCGAGCTGCGTTTCCCCATCACATACGGTTTCCTCTGCATCTCCGCACAGCGCAGGCGGCAAGAGTCACCGCGCAAGCGACAGGAAACGCGCATGCTAGCTAAAGGCGCGCAACAGTCGCCCTGTGCTCGCGCCACAGGAGAACTATGGAGAGCGGGAACGATCAAATGATAGCCTTTATGGATGGATGGATGGATGGATGGATGGATGGATGGATGGATGGATGGATGGATGGATACTCTGACTTTTCAACCTACTGTATTTTTTATTTTAAACATTATTTGATGGCCTTTGTGGCAGGGATGGAGATCCATATTTTATGTCACACACAGAGAATAGATCTAGATAGATAGATGGATAGATAGATGTTGCAGTATCTATAACAACCCAAACACACAGGATTTCAGAATTAGACATCCCCAGTTATTAATTTCACCAGATCTGAACGCCCTGTTAAAAAACTTCACATGGCGTCCCCCCCTGATGTCATTTACGTTGAGTTGCAATAAATGCTAAACTCTCTGCAGGTTCTTGTCTTTGTCGTCCGCTCTATTCAGCTGGCTTTGGAAACACACGGCGAGAAGGTGGGGGCTGGGTGGTGAGGGTTACGGGGGCGAGAAACGCAAAAGTAACGCAATAGTTACTTTTACTAGTAACTAGTTACTTTTATTGTGGAGTAACTCAGTTAGTAACGCAGTTACTTTTTGGGAGAAGTAACTAGTAACTATAACTAATTACTTTTTCAAAGTAATGTGCCCAACACTGGAAACAAGACAGTGCAATTGAGTTTTCCTATTTTAAGTGTAAATTGTCTTGTTCCATTTGCAAGATGTCTCTTTTATCTCCTCAATTCAAGAACAAATGCACTTATTTTAAGAAAAAATTACTTATCTAGCTTTCAATTTTTTGCAGTCTCCACTTTAAAAAAAAATGAGCGTGGAAGAACATGCAGGAGTCCATTTCTCCTCATGCACGCTCTGTTAAAAATGTGCTGTTCTCAAAGCTCATACAAGCTTCCTGTGTCCGCAGACAGCAGGTTCTATATAGTGGACTTTATAGTGAACTCAGTTAACTGACCGTTCAGACAGATGATCACTGCTTTTTGCTCCGTTGGTCACTTAACTCCTCCTCCACTGCACGGTGCAACACCCTATGGCGACTGCGGGCCGCTGTGACAGAAAATTCCATAATTCTTTGCAAGGAGAGTTCCCCACGCAAAGCATTCTGGGATATATCCGCCTCTTCTGAGGCCTTTCTTTTTTTCGTAGAAACTTCTTCTCTTATGACCCATTTTCAAAGAACCGTGGTGAGAAAGGTGAGCTTCAGTGACCGTCTGAAACCGTAGCTTACCAGAGATATATACGCCTGAAAGTGAGCAGAAAAAGATAGCTAACGGGACGAATACGTAGGACGGCCTTACGTAACAATATCACCAGAATGATTGACAGTTAGGAGGACCACTTATTGAGATGATCCAACCGGAAATAAAAGATTGTGCACTACACCTTTAAATATGCAGTGTCAAAGTACATTGACTCTTTTAGAGTTATTACAACAACTGGAGTAAGATATACACTATATAGAGAGTTAATTTAACACTAATTCAGACCAAATGCACTCGGATTAGTGTTAAATTTAACTTAAATTTAAATATGATCCAGAAATAAGTAAATATGTATTGTGTATTTACCCTTAATTTTAGTAGGTAAGTGAGACGATCTGCCAATGGAATTAGTATTTTTACTCTTATACGAAGATAATTAGATAATATGAGCTTCAAATAGGACAATGCGTTTATTTTTTCTTATTTTAAATGTTCCAAAGAGTCTCACTTACCTCCTCAATAAAAATCCCTTATTTTAGGAAACAATAACTTATTTAGATTTCATTTTTCTGCAGTGCTGTTTTGAAATAATGTTTTTAAACTGAATTATAATCTTCCTTCCTTTCCTACTTTAACAAACTCCATTATTAATGAAATCAAAGGCAGATCAGCTGTCGAAGAGGATTCAGGGTTCATTTTTTTGATGTGATGAGGAGAATCATGGCCTCTGGAATCCGTATGCATGCTACATTACTTCATAATGTTTTCTTACGGCTGACCTTGAACAGCCCCATCCATCAGAGATTCTGAATGAGCTGGTTAAATAGTGTCTGCGCCGGAAGACGCTTCCAGCTGGTTGGTGTTTCACTACAGCTAATCTTACACACATTAGGTCAAAGGTTTACTGGATGGAACGGCCTTTAAAGGCGGCCCTGCAGCAAGTTAATGGCGCATGACGGCGTGAAACACTTGTTCTCACCCTTTGTCCCCCTGCAGCCCAGACTACTGTGTGCTACAGTTAATGGATGCTTTATAAGACGAGTTGCATCACAGTGTTCTGAACTTTTTTTTCTTATTAAATGGATTTCAGTTTTGGTTTGGATCAGGGGTCACTGTGCCCCATTAATCAGCTCTACTTTCTGTCCCGCCAGGCGCTTCACAGACCACCGCCACACCCAGCAAAGGAGCACCGCCTGTCCCCGATGCGTGAGGAGCCGTTACCTGCTCAGCCCACTGAGGAGAGGTCGCAGAATGTGGGAGTCGGAGCAGCGGGTGGATGTGCTCCCGCTGCTGCGGCAAGTAGCGCTGGCAGCAACAAGAAGCCACGATCACGCACTAAGGTACAAACACGGACATGATGTCATGGTGGGGCTTATTCTGCACATATAGATGCATCCTTCCCCAGCTGGACTTAACAGCATTCAGCCATTCGGTTCTGCAGAGGCCTGCTAATGAGATCAGGTGCTGGAGAGGGATGCATCTGGACTTGGGCCCCAAATAAAGCTTTACAATTTTATTTACCCTTCCAAAGAACAGACTTAGGTTGTTTTTTGTGAGAGATGCTCTGTTCAGTCTGGATGAGGCCGAGGCGTTTAGCAAGGAAAACTTATGCTGGTGAAAACACATTATCTCACAAACACGCACAAAAACATGTAATAAAATAAGCAGCAAAGGAGAAAAAAGTTGCAATCACAGAAAACAGTGGAAACGTGGTGCAAACACAAAAACCTGCTGCAAACATATAAATGATGCTAACACACAAACACATAACACATGCACAGACAAAATGGTGCAAGTAGCGAAAACAACTGCAGGTTAAAAAACAAAACTGCAAGGGGGGAAAAAAATGAAATACCAGAAAAGAGTGGAAACGTGGTGTAAACACAAAAACCTGCTGCAAACCCATAAACGGTGCTAACAGACAAAAACAAAACACATGCTAAGAAAAAAAATGCTGCAAGTCGCGAAAACAATTGCAGATAAAAAAAAGCTGCAAAGTAGAAAAACAATCACAGAAAACAGTGGAAACATGGCGCAAACACAAAAACCTGCTGCAAACACATAAACGATAACCTGACTCCGCCAGATGGATTTGCTCCGCATATCAATTTGGAAACCTTCCGTAGAAGTAATTTTGGGAAGGGGCGAAAATACTGGTTAGCTGATTGGCCTATGTTGGTGATAGACGGGCCAAATAAACCAATCAGATCAACGAAGCATATGACGTACTAACAGAGCGACGACGAAAACACAACCACAAGTCAGGCTACTCTTGCCGAAACCAGTCGGGAGAAGAGCAAAAACATCTTTTCCTCTGAGAAAAGCCTCCAGAGCAGTGTTTTGCTCTTCTTTCAGTGAAGAAATACTCTGTAATTCCGATAAAACTTGCTCGATAGCCACACTAACGGTAGTTTCATCGGCTGAAGCCGCCATGTTCTTTAGACTGAACTGTCTGAAGTTTTTCTTAGCTTGTATTTGTTTTTGTTACCTGCAGCATTTATTTCCTTGAATAAGTTTAGTTTGTCATCCTCTTTTTTTTGTGTTTGCTAGTCTAAATTTGGGCGCTACGACTTCTTTTGAATTTGTTGTGACATTACGTACGCACAGTGTTCACCACCTTAAAAACTGGTTTATGCTCAGAAACCAGGTTGTCTGAGTGTGTGTGTCGTAGTTAATGCAGTTAATGCAGATAGATTTTGTTTGTATGACTGCCATTGCGGACATGACTCGTGAAGATGGACCAGCTAGAAGAGCGAGTCTGCGAAGAAGTGAGGAAGTACCTACATCTGTACGACTCTCGCTCCTCCATGCCGAACAGCGTGTTTCTTTTCCTTTGTTTCTCTCAATTCAACTCAATATATTTTCTTTCTAGATCTCCTTAGAGGCCCTTGGCATCCTGCAAAGCTTCATTCAGGACGTGGGTCTGTACCCTGACCAGGAGGCAATCCACACCTTATCTGCGCAGCTCGACCTCCCCAAACACACCATCATCAAGTTCTTCCAGAACCAGCGCTACCACGTCAAGCACCACGGCCGCCTCAAAGAGCTGGGCGAGGGGGCTGCCGCCAGCGGAGGGGTGGACGTGAGCGAATACAGAGACGAGGAGCTGCTCTCTGGCTCCGAGGATCCAGAGTCCAGTGAGGATGGAGCCGAGGAGATCTACCAGATGGCAGAGGGGAGCAGTGGGAGCACGGGGGGCCTGAACCAGCCCCCGCCCTCCTCCAGCTCCACCTCCACTCAGTCATCCTCAGGTACCAAAGCCGCTCAGGAGGACGGCAAGGATAAGGGCCCCGGCCGACTCGGTGCTCCAATGGTTCCTGGGAGCTCCTCATCCAGTCCTCAGCAGCAGACTGACTACCAAAGGTAGAAGCTAGCAGACATCAAGAGGGAAGAAAGTGAAGAAGAAAAATTTCCTGGAACATGGCGGCACGCCGAGCTGAGATCCCGTTTGTTAAAAACGGCTCAACTGACAGTTTATTGTGACAATCTCAGATTTGTGGAACTTGTGAATTTACCTCAGAAAAGACTGCAGGGTTCTAGGAGCGGTCGTACAGCTGTGAGAAAATTACCACAAAAAAAATGTTTTCATCAATTAGATTTGTTTAAAAAAGGCAGGTATGACCTTTGCTGCACCGGACGTCCCTCCTCCAAAACCATCTGAGCACACCTCACGAGGAACAGACCCACCTGGTGAACTTTTTTCCTGCCCGGGCCTCCGTTCATCATCAAGCTTTAATCCACTGAGGGGGAAAAAGGCAGAATTCTACTTCAAAACTCACTGGTTTAGCACTTAAAGTTCACAAAGACAGAGGCTTTTCAAGCCTGATCTCCTGGAGGAACAGGAGGATGAGGGGGGGGCAGCAGAGAGACGCCCCTGACCTCTTCCCTGCTCCACCCATTAAAAGCGTGGTGGAAGGAAAATAAAGAAGGTTTAAAGACAGGGTCTAGATGTTCTGCAACCAAACAATCAGTCACTTTATGTGCGGTAGTCCCCCCCCCCCCCCCCCCCCCCCCAGTCCTGCACTCAACTTCACCCAGCCTATTTATTGCTATCTTTATCCCTGATTATTATTATGATTATTTTTAATATTGTTGTTATTATGGTTAGGATTGCTGTCACTGCGTGCTATTTCTAGCTTTTATTTCCATGGTTTAAAACGGTGGTTTGCAGAACTGGGCGCCTGGGTGGACAACAGACAGTAAAAGTTTGCCGCTCTGTCAAAGCGGCGAGAGGGTGGACAAAAATAAAGAGAAGCGGTTACTGAGTGTTACTGGGAAATGTTGTTTAATGCCATTTTTTTTTCTCTTAGCTTTGTCCCTGAAACGATTGAGGAGAAAGAAGGAGGAATCCAGTCTGCTTCTCTTTGCTGCAGTTGATGACAATCTACTTTATGAGCTCTTTAAGAAAAGCGGCAGGTTTAACTCTGCTGGTAGCTTTTAATGTGTGTAAATACCCCCCCCCCCCCCCAAAATGGGACAAATTGCTGTTGTTATACTTGTTCCTTTTATTTTTTAATGTTTGAGCCAGTTGGAGAAACTCAGTGGAAAATCTCATCGAGGCTATTTAAAGAAAACAAAAAAACATGCTCTTCTCATTCCATGTCTGCTTCGACCATCCTGATTGGCTGCTACGCAAACAGTGAGCTGCCCTTTCAATCACTACTCTGTATGATGATATTGTGCTTTTCTGTATAACAGGAATCAGGGTTAGATTCAAGTAATGAAATCTTTTTGTCCATAAATGTTGAAGTGAATAAAAAAAAATTTGTGCAGTCAGAAATGTCTCATTTTTTTATGTTCTCAGGATCCTTTCAAAACAGAAAACAGTCAAAGAAATGCAAACTATAATATGTGATTGGTAAAACGATCTTATCTGCATAAACAGATTAGCCTTTAAATGAACTCTGAATCAATAAATCAGATTGATATTTGGAAATAAAGTAAAGAGGAAAAGGTTTTTTGTACAATATTTCTTTTTTTGCTTTGTCACACTTTGGCGCTAAAGTATAGCATGAGATACGTATGTAAACGTCACGAAAATAAATAAATGTACCATTAAATAAGAAAGAAAAAGAATATTTGCGTTTGTAAAACATGATTTAAATATTAAAGGTATAGTGGAGGATTTTGATGTATTTTTGAAAAGACCCGCCCTCTCCATGCACATGCACAACCCTGTACCTGCTCCAGAGAAGGAACGCCTATTAAACGCGTGTGAGAGCGTGCACGAGCCAATTTCTCCTCGTGTTTAAAAGATGCTTTTTGCATCGCTCATACAGGCTTACTTTCCAAAAGAAGATTTGCAATTTTTCCACTATGTCAGACTCACCACTGGTAAGTGAAAATGGGGTCGAGCACGTAGGACGGCCTTACGTAACCATATCAGCAGAATGACTGACAATTATGAGGACCATTTACTATGATGATCAATCCAGAAAAACTTTATCATCAACTTTATTTTTTCATTCAAAAAAGTAAAAAAAAAACAATCCACTGGACCTTGATTCTAAATTTGAAGACATTTCGCTTCCCATCCAGGAGGGTTTTTTCAATTTAAAATGCTGTCTTTATACAGTAGTCCAACAAACATGTGAATTGAAGCGGACGAACGGGTCCACCTCTTTGAAATGGAGGTTGTTTGGCTTCTTTTGTTAGCCTGCGATGCCCCATACCTGTCTATAATGGAGAAATCAAACAACCTCTTCACAGACACATGGCCCCACACAGAAGAGCGCCCTCCTCGAGCCAAGACTCTGAGGTACATCTACACCTTATGGACAAAGGAAATTTTTTTGAGGACCAGAATGTTGACATTTTGGTAAAAGAAGATTGGTGATTTGAGAGGGGTGTGAAGGAAGCCATCTATGTTAAGAAAGAAAAAACAACCTTAAACAGAGGGGGACTCAGATTTCAGCTTTCAAAAACCTACAATTCATCAGAGATGGCAAAAGTACTCACTTTCCGTACTTGAGTAAAAGTACAGATACTTGTGTTAAAAAATACTCTGGTGAAAGTGGAAGTACTGATTAAACTTCTTTACTCAAGTAAAAGTAACAAAATACAGGCTTGTAAATTTACTTAAAGTATAAAAGTAAAAGTAGAAACCACTTTTTTCATGCCGTTGCCTACATTTTAAATGGATGTCTGCCAATAGGACTAGATCTCCGTTGTGTTCATTTTCAATCATCTCGTCGTCCATGCTACTATGCTAACGCCACCGCCACCAAGCTGCAATGATTCGCCGCCAATGAATACCGCCGAATCTGTCGATTCATCTTGTAGCGGTGCGTCAAATGCGACATAGATTCCCATCCAATTAGATTGAATTTGGTATTGATGACGTGAAAAATAATAACGGTAACTCCATTGAAATGATTCAAAACTAAAGTAACGAGACAATTTTTTAAAATGTAAGGAGTAGAAAGTACAGATATTTGTGTAAAAATGTAAGGAGTAGAAGTAAAAAGTCGCCATAAAAATAAGTAGTAAAGTAAAGTAAAAATATCAGAAAAATCTACTTGAGTACAGTAACGAAGTATTTGTACTTAGTTACCTCCCATCTCTGCAATGCAGCGATAGAGTTCCCCTTTACAGGGGAATAGAAGATCTCGCCTATTCAGCCAGACCAACAATTCCCTTTAACGACCCCCCTTTCAGAGACATAGACAGGTATGGGGCATTGCAGGCTGACAAAGAAGCCAAACGACCCCCATTCCAAAGGGGTGGACCCGTTCATCAGTTTCAATTTGCATGTTTTCTAAACAGAAACCAGGCTTTGTTGGGCTGCTGGATAAAACCTGGAACTCAACGCTATTCCTGACATTTTGAATTGAAAAAGCTGGATGGGAAGCAAACCATCTTCTTTTTTTTTTTTTTTTTTTTTGAAATGACTATAAGCTGGATGACAGAGAATCTTCAACAGCAACATCATCAACTATACCTTTAAATTCTCACTGTAAAATGAACATCAATAATTACATAAATTCTTAAAAAAAAAAACATTTTAGCAGACAAGCTAGTCTCATTAATGTCCAGAATCAGTTCACTTTATTTATCTAGAGCCAATAAACAACACAGCAACTACTGACAATTTAATCCGTTGATCCAGACAGATGGGTTAAAAGTTTTCCTTGACAGGAAAACCCAGCTGTCTGCATCTAGTCTCTGCAGGTTTGGCTCCTCCTAGATGAGCAGGTAGCGACAGCAGACATCGTGTCATTGACTCTACAGCAATCCCCTCACACTAAGCATGAATGCAACGACAGGGAAAAAAAACAAACTGCCTTATGACAGGAAGAAACATCATCCAATTCTTTCCCAAAATAATAAAACTCATTCCAACACACTCATAGCTTATCATACTCTGAATCAATTACATCATTCCAGTTCAATCTGAATGATGGTTTAGCAGAGTCAGATTCAGTTTAACCTGTTTGTTTCTGCATATGGAAATGTTTTATCCAAAGCCTTTTTTTCCAATGGCCTCAAACACATTAAACATTCAGGTTGGTTTCATAGCTAACAATAATATACTGAGGCAGAAGCTCGCCCGTCTGCTTCTGTAAGAGATGGAGAGACAGTAAAGAGATCCTGAGACCGTAGAGGGGAGAAGGAAGGGCAAGGACCAGGCCTGGTAATACACTGGAAAAAAATGAAGTCTAGATGAGTCATTTTTTCTTAAAATAAGTGCATTTGTTTTTAAATTGAGGAGATAAAAGAGACATTTTGCCAATGGAACAAGACAATTTACATTTAAAATAAGAAAACACAAGTGCATTGTCTTATTTTAAGCGCATTTTATCTAGATATCTTATTTTAAGAGTAAAAATACTCATTCCATTGGCAAATAATCTCCTTTAGCTACTCAAATTAAGGATAAATACACTTGATTTAAGAAATTTTTTGCAGTGCACCACTGAGGAATAGCAAAATACATAAAAAAAATAGAAAACCAACGATCCTTTGCTGAGCAGAATAACCCAATCTTCTTTTTAATGCAATAATTCAAAAAGGTGGGAGGTTTTCAATAAGGCAGTCTGTAGACCACCATCCTCTACTTCCAGTGGAGGATGAGGAGGGCGCACCTGCGTAATGTTCAACACAGGTAAAAAGGACATTTTATAATCACTAGCACATTAAAACCCTATCTTCACGATTCAACCGCTGCTATGTTAATAGGGAGTTATAAATCTAAACTAAATATATTTATGCATTAGGTTCCCTGGGTTTTATCCTTGGAACGCACTTTGATAGTTGCATGTCTCAATTTGCTTATAAGATTCACACAATTAATGACACACAGCTGTATTAGTGTTTTTTGGGACACCACAGCCAAGTTCATTTATTTAGAATAGTTGTATGTGTTAAAATCTTCACTTAAATAAAGATAACACAGAGTTTTTGTTCTTGGACCAATGTGCGTCATATCTCCTAATATAGGTCCACCTTCAGGCTGTTGGCCTAATAAACCCTCGGACATGACAAAAAATAATCTTGGTGAGATCCTGAATAAATGTTGACAACTACATCAAGTTTATTGTAAAGACTTCATAAGATCCCTTAAAAAAACATTGCCAGAATTAGACAACTGATGTCCCGAAGGACTCTAAAATATTAGGGGACAGGTTTGTTTTTACAGACTTCCATATTGCAATGCTGTTTGTTCAAGACTATCATTCAACCAGAAAACTCGAGCTTCCTTAAAATTCTGCAGCTGGAGTTCTTATCAAAACAAAAAGAGACCAGCAAATCACTCTAATAGTAAGGTCTTTACTCTGCCTGCCTTATAGCTATATATAGAGTTCAAAATCGCATTGATGGTTAAAAAGCAGACCTGCAACAGACTGGTGACCTGTCCAGGGTGGACCCTGCCTTTCAACCAAAGACTGGTGGAGAAATGGATCATCCCAATCCTGGAATGAGGGGAAGATGGATGGATGGATGGATGGATGGATGGATGGATGATGGATGGTTGGATGGATGGATGGATGGATGGATGGATGGATGGATGGATGGATGGATGGATGGATGGATGGATGGATGGATGGATGATGGATGGTTGGATGGATGGATGGATGGATGGATGGATGGATGGATGAATAATAGAAAGATAGATGGACAGACGGACGACTGGATGGCTTGGTGGGTGGATGGATTTGTCTTGAAACTGATGGCTTACGCCGGCAGAAGACCAGACCAGGTGCTGTTCCACAACTTAAGACTCCAAATTCCCAGAGGCACATTAGAATTACACGATGAAAGGTTGGTAAAGTTTTTCCTGATCCAATGATACTTAATTTAATTTTTTAACACTGATAGTAGAGTCAGAGTTTGGTGAAAAGCCTGGGCCATTGCTTCATTGTATCAGGAGTTCAGACTGGTAGTTGCATGGTGATCCTTTAAATGTCGCCTACCTGTGAATTGTTGCCATCACAGTCTACCCGTTTCCTGCAGGGAAATACATTATTCTCCATGCCTCAAATCCTATTAGCATGCATAGGCGTAATTCTTTGGGGGGGCAGGGGTGACATGTCCCCTGCACTTTTTACTGTCCAAAAACAATGTTACTCTACAGTACACAGACATCCATCGAGCACTAGGACCAAGCGGAAAACCGCAGCTCAAGCTGAAGCCTCCTTCCGTGAGTTTAGACCGCCCACATGCTCCTGAAAAATTCATTTCTCTGAGTCCCTTCAATCATCCTTATATTACGGTAAATCGCCTTGAGGAGTTTGCTAGCAGAGAAGATAACTTCATTTAAGAAGTTTTAAAAAGTTAAGA